TTTCTCATGCCCAACTGGTGTGATGAATGATGCGGCTTAAGAAGGGCCTGGCCGCAGGGTGCAGGGGAACTGTAATGAGAAGGAGGTGAGTTCCTGTAGGTGTGCTGGAAGGGAGGTGATGGTAGAGCACTCAGTAGTAGTGGGGAACTGGGGATGTGCTGTTTGATCCTGGGAGAGTGGAAAGAGTGGTAAGAGAAGAGGGATTGAGGAAGGAATAAACCTTCCTTAATTTCTATATATTAGGAAGCCAGAGAAGAGTGTATATGAGGGAACCTTGAGGAAGAGGTGGCTAAGCGTGTAAGAATTACTCACAAAGATAATGTGGCCTTTGTATCCTCCTGCCCCCACTTGACCCCAGGTGGCAGAAATCAGGCAGCTGCTTCTTTGGCTCATGATTATAAAGGTTGTCTCTGGAGGGACAGAAAAAATGGTCCCAGTGATACAGCTTAGGATGTTAGAAGAGAGCTCTGAAGGGTATTTCCCGTTTTCCCCCCATGAGCTTTTAATTTTAATATATATTATATGTATTTCTATGTTGATATCTATATTTACTCTTCTCCACTTCTTGCCAGTCCCATAACATACATTCTGAATAGCTGGTAATTTTCATTTGCAGCCGTAATGGGTAACATCTGAGCATTCATTTTATCTTTCTACCTGAGATGCAGTGTTTCTAACTTGGCCGGTCCCTGCTCGGCAGATCTGCTCTGTTTCTTTACACACTGGAGAAGCCTTGATAACTCTAACAGAGACCCCAAGTTCTGATGGAGCTTTGGAATAGTACTTGAAATGCTTTGATTTCTAACATCAGGGTTTTGCTATCTTAATTTGAGCTCTTCCAAATGGATGGGAAAACCAGACACTACCTAAAAGGAACAATTCATAGGTGATCTAAAATTACTTCCAGAGGATACTTTGAGATTTGTATCATTTCACGTTGAAATGATAGTATGTAAGTGTGGCTTCTCTTGATACACTGGCATTATTTTATTGATTGTGAAAGAAAAATAATTAACTTGGGATTCAATAAAATAAGACCGACTTAATGAAAGCTTTTGGTGTTGCTGTTCTGAAAGAGAGAATGGAGGGAGCGGAGCAGTGGTCACTCTGGGGTTGAGGGCTTGCTTTTTTAAATAGGAAAACTTTAGGACGTTCTCCTTTCGTTTGTGCCTCCCCAGAGCCCTTGATCCCTTTTTGTGTGGTTTACATTAGAAGTAACAGGGAAGAACTTACTTTTGAGAGGAAAAGAAAATATTGTGTCTAATTGTATCTAATTCTAATGCTTGATGGATATTTATGTCTTACGTACAAACCTAAATTAGATGTTTTGGATGCCTTCTCTACCTGTTTGTTACCAAAGCCACGTATTTTATGTAAGTCAAAGCAAAATATCGATGAGTACTATGCAGAGAAACAAGTTTGTCCATTGATTCAAATCTCTGGAATGTAGGTTCTCTTCATTTTCTTGGCAGAAACTAGCTCACATAGTTCAAGTTTTTTTCTGTCTTATTATAATTGTCTCATTTAACCAGTGCCTGGTCTAACATCTTAGACTTAATATTTGTCTTGAATTTCTTAATCTCATTCAGGATATTTTGGGAACTGTTTTTCTCCTGAACTAATATCTACTTGTTACTGAGGGGAAATATCATATACTGATTAAGGAATGTATATTTTGAGAAGTCAGCAGTTCTCAAGCTTTGTATCTTAGGATGATACTAAGTATTTTGTTTATTTTTAAAGGAAACTTTAATTGTGAAATAGTTTTGGAACATGCTGGGTTAAATCAAATTAAAGAAGCTTTTTAAAATGGACTTCTCCCAGTTTTTATTTTGTTAATAAGCATTATATAGCTACAAGAAGGCTATACGATATGCAGTGTTTCCCATTTACTTTATCACAGAACCCCTTATTTTGGGAAACATGTTGCCATGCTTTGAGGGAAGATGACTGATGTGGAATTTAGATCACACTTTGAGCTTCTGATTTACCACTAACTAGACCCCATCAAATCCTTCATTTTCTAGCCTCAGTTTCCGGAGTAGTGACTGAGGTGACTTCCAGCTCTAATACTGTCTGCTTTAATGCTTCTCTTGTTGACCCTGGAAAGTGACACTTCCCACCTCTTTGTATCTCTTGAAACCACGCCTTCATTGGAGTCTACTTTTTTTAAGCTGAGGGGCTTATACTTCCTTTTCTCTAAAAGTTCAGAAGAAATCCTTTAAAACTCCATTTTCCACAGATTAAGGTCATGAAATCCTGTCGGATTAGTTTGTTCAAATAACTCTATTAAGATATTTTATTTTCTTAATCAGGAGAGTTGTGTTGATCTCATATCCACACAACTGGTTTTAAGAGCCCCCTGATCTTAAAGGCTCTGGTCCACCCTCCCCCTCACATGGTTCCAGCATCGCGTTTCTCTTCTAGGACATAAATCTTTGGTCATTTGCACTAATCCCTTGGTCACTTAGAGGAAAATGGGTAGATTTCATTTTTCTGATGATTCGGTGGTTATATTTGAAAAGTCTTATGATAATACTGACTGATTATCTTTTTTTTTTTCCCCTATGGAAAAATGGATCAAGAGGGGTAACTTCAGGGTTGAAAATGTATACATTAATATCCTATTTCTGGGACTAAAGCTTTGTGTATTAAGGTATATTGTTGTGTTTTCTTTAAGATACTAATCTGTTGAAAATCAGAAGTTTTTCGAGTGCTTAATTGTTTTCTTTTTTTTTTAACATGTGCGTGTATGTCTCTATTCTAGGCCCAACAACAAAGAAACCTGGATAACATCGTCTTGCAACAACCCAGAATAGGAAGCAAGAGAAAGTCTAAGAAAGACGCATATACAATTTTTGATACAGAGATAGAAAGCACTAGCCCCAAGTCTGAGCAGGACTCAGGAATTCTGGATGTTGAAGATGAAGAAGACGATGAAGAGGTAACTGCCATTTGAACTGGGGTGTGGGACTGGTGTTAAGTTTACATACAGCGTGTCTGAGATGTGATGAAGAATCTATCCCTTTAATACAGCCTTTGTGATGTTCTGGAATTTACTCCCATTTTAAATGTAAGTGGACCCTGATTTTGGGAAACTGAAGATGCACTAAGATGCCTTAGGTTCTAAGTGATTAGAGTTTAAATGCCCTTGTCCATTTTTTTAAGTTTCAGGGTTTTTGATTGTATGCTGACTGGGTAGGCAGGGCGTTAAGGGAAGAGTAGCATTTACCTGACCTGGAGAAAGATCTAGAAAAAAGTTTCTCGAGACCAGTAAAAGATGTTACTTTAAATAGGGGGGAACGTACAAAGGAATTTCTTGGCCTTGAGTTATGGTTCAGATTGAAAATATAAAAAGGTTCCAGAAAGTTGAAAATACATTTCTGGAGGAAATAAATGTAAGAGTGATGATAGAGAATCTGGGAATTTTGTGGTTTATCTGTAACCTCGTAGATTAGATCTGTGTCACTTTCAGGTAAAGAATAAGATTGAGTGGCTTAGCTAGTACATATTTTTATACCCTTCTTTGTTGTTGGAAGTGTATTTAACGTGTTTTTAAAAATAAAACTCCTGTGACGTGAGATTTCCTGTTAAAATGTTTTTGTAAATACTTATTTGCACGACGAGATTAGTTTCTCTGTGAGCGTGGTGGTTGAAGCATGACCGTTGGAGTCAGATGAATCCTGGCTCTACCATTTTATTTCTTTAAAATCAGCATTTATAATTATATCATTTACTTTTAAAATCTTCAGTGACATGTGCAAGGAACCGTTTACTCCTATACTCAGTTAACCTGTTTACCTTTAGGTGCTTGTCTCATTTTTGTTTATTGTTTCATTTCTCCAGCTAAAATTGGGTTCACTGTCTCGCCCCCATCCTTTGTCCTTTGCTGTACCCTTACTACTCTCCTTGCTCTCCTCTCCCCGCAGAACTTGTCACTGTCTAACTTCATAATCTTAGGTAATTGTTTAATCTTGTGGAACTTTAGTGTCTTCATCTATCAAGTAAAGGTAGTCTTCTGTGCCTCCATAGATTTGCACAAGCGCCTGTACCATAAAAGGTAGTTAATGCAAATGTTAGTTTCTGTCCTAATTTCATTACCCTTCCTTCCTCACTTCCATTAAGTGTCACTACTGTCAGTATCCCTGCCCTTATTATTACTCCTCTTTCATGTCAAAAATTGAATTGCCACTGTTTAAACTGTTTGAGCTGAAAAGCAAATAACCAAGTTAATTATGTGTCTAAAACATTAGCATTTACGTTTGATTGAATGTCTGAGAGACTATCATGTGTAAAGTACTATATTATTGAGAGGACACAGTTCTACAATGTAAGTGAATAATAGCATTTATAATTTATACTTTATCAGGATATGCTTATTGTATAAATGAGGTACATTAATAGTTAACAACGTGTGTGAAGGTTTTATCATAATCCCTATTGTACTTGGATAACAAGAACTTTTAATAGCTCTAAGAAACAGAGCTAAGAAAAGAACCAGATATTTGCCTGCTACCCATGGAAATAGAGAGGGGTAGAGAAGATTTGATCCCCGTGAATATTTTTTAATATTCTCTCTTCTTCCTGGAATGACTGGTATGGTAGGATGTAGATCTACCCTGGAGGCCAGACTGTCAGGTATTAGGCTCATCACCGATGACAAGCTGCAGTAGTAGTACAATAAAGAATCAGTCTCAAGAAGGACCAGTTAGTGCCTTTTATTTACATTTTGGGTGCCTGTCAAGGAATTTAAATTCTATCAGGCACTATGGCGTAAGGAAACAGAAGTCAGACATAGTCTATGCTTCTGGGTAATATACACCCAAAAGAGGTGGTTAGATGATAAAAGAATGAAATATACACACGGTTCTCATATGTCACTGAGTACCTTCTGGGTAGGAGCCATTCTTTATCATTAACTCACTGAATATCTTGAGCACGCCCCTTTTAATTCTTGTGCCATGTTTCTTCTTCGTTTTATCTTCTAAGGTCTAGAGAAGACGAAGACTGTGGGACTAGTAAAGTGTGTTGTGGGTTCCTCATAAAGGAACTATTATAAGAATGTGCTTGGAAGTTAACTTCCTAAAATGCTCCCATACCCCAAGTCAAACAGAATTCACATTAGAGATTTGCTGATTGAGCTCTTACAACAAGAATTCAGCCCTGCACTGTCATCTAATGGCACCCATCTTAAAAAAATGCCTACTTTATATTTATTTACTTCTCAGTTTGACTCTTCTTCAAGTGCACATTCTTAATCTCAAACCTCATGTAGAGAATTGTTTATTTAGATGTCTCCAAACTGGTTTCTTGGCATAGTTCTTGCATGGTGTGAATAAATTCTTCAGATAAGGTCTTTCGTGACCCACTGTGACGTTCTGACCTTCATTCTTGTCATTCTTCAACAGACCTCATTGAGAGCAGCGTAAATAGTTTTTGAAATATTTTGACTTTTAAACTGTGGCATAGAATCTTGTAGGGCAGTGGTTCTTAATCTATTCGGGGGTAATGTATTACTTTGAGAGTTTGATGAAAAATATATGGAGCCTTTCCCCTGTAAAACGTACATATATATACTCACAAAAAATTCTGTGTGAAATTTCAGAGGATTCATGAAACTCATATTGCCCCAAGGCCCAAAGTTAAGAACCTATGTTGTACGACAGTGCTTCTTGAACTTCAGTGTGCATAGGATCACCTTGTGATCATTTTAAAATTCAGATTCTGAGTCTCAGAATCTGCATTTTTAACAAGCTCCCAGGTGAGGATGGTGCTTCTGGTCTCAGAGTACACGTTGAGTGGCAGGGGTTCAGAGGATAACAAGGAAGCATTTTAGTGCATAAAGAAAACAAACTCATGGTTTGTGTCTCCTATTGATTTTCCATTAGTATGTTTTAAAAATTTTCTAACAATGAATGTAGCACTTGAAGAGAAAGTTCTATTTTGCTTTTTAAAATCTGTTGCTTATAATAGATTACCAGCATTATTGTTTATGACAGTTTGATTCTGATTTAACTTACTTAAGTTTAGGTATTTTTAATTCTCTGAAGTAAGACCTTTAAACCATTTTTTGTGTGCTTTTAATTGAAGTACGCTTAATACATTTCTTGAGTCGAATGATAATTTGAGGCTATTTACTATGTATGTCTTTAACTTGATGATACTTAATAGGAGACCATTGAATGAGATGGTAGGAAATCCCAAATAACTTTGCACATGGTTAGCATATGGTTAGCATGTAGTTAATATATTGTTAATCTGCAATTAAGTTTGTGTCAGAGATGGGAAAGACTGGGAACTGAGGATGAAGTTGCAGTAGTAAACTGTCATGTTGGATGAAAAACCATCTCACATGTTGAACCAATTGAAAGAGTCAGTCTCTTGATTGCTGATAAGTGTTGCAGGAAAAATATTTCCCCCCAAAAACTGTACTTCATTTTTGTCTAAACTAATGAAGGGTCACCTTAATTAAGGTAAGGCTTGTTTTTTTTGTCTTCTTACATCTCATATATTAAAGTTGACCTATATAAACTGCTGATATTTGACTTTTTTTTATTGTTAATGCTCACCTGAGGATATTTTTTCCACTGATTTTTAGAGAGGGTGGAAGGTAGGGAGGGAGGGGAAGAGAGATAGAGTAACATTGATATGAGAGAGACACATTGATTGGTTGCTTCTCGCACGTGCCCCGGCCAGGGCTGGGGGACAAACCTGCAATCCAGGTACGTGCCCTTGACTGAAATCGAACCCACATCCCTTCTGTCGGCAGGCCCATGTCTAACCACTGAGGTACCGGCCAGGGTGATATTTGACAATTTTTGATTTATGACTTAGTTCAATTGATTTTTAATGGAAACATGTATGAATTCAGGAATTTGGTTTGAATCTTTATATCATCCTGTGCTATATGCAGATGAAATTGCTCCTCTGTAAACGTCTAGATAGGACTTAAAATATTTTTGGAGGTAGTGAACATTTTAGATTGAGAATGTGTTTATGGATCTAGCTTCATCAAGAATACAATTTTTGGGATATTTGAAGATAAAATACGTAGAACCCCATAAGTTGATACATTATTTGTAAGATGGAAGATAGTAATACCTACTGAGGGTAGGGTTATTGTGAGGATTGGCTGGAATAATGTATATAATGCTCTCTTCACAGTACTTGGGACACACAGTAGCTGTCATTATATAATAGTTACTAGTTAGGCCTTATGCCTGTGTGGTTTTTTTTGGAAAATAAAGGTTAAAAAAAGTTGATATAGTTTTTGATAATATACATTTGTATGGACTGATAAACACCATCTACTGTACACAAAAAAAGATGCTGAAATAAAGCAGTGTTGAGTAAGAATAGGTTATGTCAGAGCTTCTGCATTCTTAGAGCGTGGCGTTGTAGCACACTGACGGCGCACCTCAGGTTCGAGTCTGTATCTGCACGCTCACGGCACACCTCAGGTTCGAGTCTGTATGTGTTTGCATGCTCACGGCACACCTCAGGCTCCAGTTTGTATGTGTTTGCTCGCACACGGCGTCGAGAGCAGCGCTCAGCACGTTACTCACACGGCTCTTCACAGAGTGTGGGTGAGAAAGCGGATGTGGTCAGATGATCCACCTCAGGCGTAGCCTCAAGATTTCCATGCCTCTTTTGAAATACGATATTAACAGAAGGAGTTGCTGATTTAAATACAAGTGGCATGTAATATAAAGCCTTTTGAGATGCCTTAATGATTGTTGTAGGTACTAATTTTGAGGTAACAGTATATGTATTTGTTGGCTGGGGCTGCCATAACAAAATACCATAGATTGTGTGGCTTAAAAGAAATTTGTTTTCTCACAGTTCTGGGGGCTAGAATTCCCAAGATCAGAGTGTCAGCAGGGTTGGTTTCTGCTCAGGCCCCTCTCCTTGGCTTGCAAATGGCTACCTTCTTGCTGTGTCCTC